TCTGCTCTGGGTTGTGGTAGGTGTCAGTCACCCTCTCCACGTTTAGGCTTCCCCACCTCCTGCAGATTCAGAGGCACTGGGTCATTCCTTGTGCCTGCCTCATTCTCTCTCTGGGCTGAGATTAATGAATTAGCAAGTGTTTTTCAAAACAATCTGACACAACACTTTAGGAGCTGAGTGCCACTTACTGGGGTGTGGGAGGGTCGGGGTTCTGTGTTCAATCACCAGCTCTGTGCTGGCATTGCAGGTATGACAACCCTAGGATTTGAGTGCAGTGAGGTCTGGAGGTTCTAGAAGAGGTAGCTTTGAATAAACTAGCACAGTTAAGAAAAATGTTTTCTGATACGTGAGTCTGGTGGGTTTGTTGTGGTTTTGTTTTTTTTTTTTTCCCTAAAGCCTAGAAAAAAGGGGCAATTTTCTAATATGGGCAGAGGTTGGTGACTGTAGGTAAGACCTTTGAGTACTTATGTCAAGTGTGTGCCTATAGGATGAAGTTGGGCATTTATCAAGAAAAGTAGTGTCTGATGGGATGGGACAAGTGCTTTCTGCCTATGGAGCATGCAGTGACTGATGAGGGAAGAGGATGTGTGATATACCACCACCAGTCTTTATCCATGACATAGGTGCCAAGTAAAGCTATGAACATGTTTCTATGTTCATTTTAAAAGCTCTCTGTAGCTCTCTCTTGAGGATCAGGGTTAGAGAAAATGTGTGGTTTTGTCCTACTGTGTCTGAGCTCAGCCTGCCGTGTGGTTTAGTTTCACCTCAGTTGCTGTGATGGCACCTGGTAAACTGTGGTGTGCGTTACATCCTGAGAGATGCAAGTATGGGATTCAGGAGTTGTGAGAGGTGTGAATGCAAAGTGGCCTCTGGAGACCTCTAGCTCAGCTTCCTGTTCAGGGTCACATGAAAGAGGAGCAAAAGGTGCTAAGTACATACTGAGCCCTGGAGAGATGGAACAACAGGGAAAGGTGGGCTAAAGCTTATGATTTCCCAAGAGTTTGGAGCTGCATGGAGCTGGAGATGCACAGTCAGCCTAGATGTCTCCAAGGGAGTGCTCTTCAGTTGGACAAGGTGCTCTAGTGTCCTATGGCACTTGTCACAGGTCTCCACTGCTCTACTGGGGTTTCTGCCTGCTTTTGTGACTCCAGAGATGATTGTCCATGCCTTTCTGCAGAAGAAAGCTTGGCTGTGCTTACTTTCCCCCTCTGCCCCTCTCCTCCAAGCAGCAAGAAGCTGGATATCTTTACACCAAAAGGATGGGACTGTTCTGTGGGATGGGAACTGTAACCACCTCTCAAGCTTTGTCTTTTGTGTCCTGACAGCACAGGTAGGACCTGGAGCCTTGAAATAGGGGCTGCCCAAAGGAACAGGGGTGGCTCAGTTTTTGGCTGCTCTCTGTGACCTTTGCCTGGCGAATCTGGCTTGAGGGTGCTGTGCCCCCTGGTTTGGCTGTCCACCATCTTGCCCACTGTGAAAAGAGCTGGCTAGTGCTGTGGAGCTGCTGGTCTGCAGAGAGGGATGGCTCCTCATGCCCTGCTCCTGGCTAACAAATCCCTATACATGGAGCTTAATCCCCCAGATAATCCCTTTCAGATGGCAAGCACATCCAGGCATGAAAATAATGGAGAAACAGCAACTGGGGCAAGAAGAGCAGGCAAGTGCATGTATCTGTCAGCCTCCTCCCAATGCACTCCCATTTCCTTGTTTTTGCTGATGCCAGTGCATGAGTTGGGTGCCCTTGCTGAGGTTGTGCACGTGGTGTTGCCGAGCCCTTTGTACAATGAAAACAGGTCCTGCCTGGCTGTGGTGGGCCAGGGGTGATGCAGGGTGGTGAGGAATGTCAGGTGGGACAAGGGAAGAGCTGGCAGCAGCAGCTGTGAATCAGTGCTAATACAGGAGCTTGCTGCTTGTGATCCTCGGATACGGAGCTTTCCAGAGATACTCTAGGGCAGGTCTTGAGACTGAAAACTTGTTTTGGTTGCTTTATGATGTCCTGCACAATCAGCTGTACGATCTAGTCACCGTGCCTCATCTAATATGCCTCTATCTAATCTAATCACAATGCCTCACCCTGAGCTACTGGTTTTTTATCTTCGCTGGCAAATGCACTGCCTTGCTCCAAACACAGCCTGAGTCCTCCACTGCTTTTGAGCTCAACTGGCTTTCAGGTATATAGGGCATGGATAACAGGAGTGTGAGTAGGAACTGAGCCTTGGCCAAGGGAGGAGAAAACTTGAGATCAGGCTGAAATCCCATGGCTGGGTGACCTTTGCCTCTCCAGGAAGGGAAGGCAATAGGATAGAAGAAAACAGCAAGGATCAGCACGTGTCCCTGTAAGCAGGTGGATGTAATATAGTCAGCTTGTTTGGAAAGATCCAGGGTTAAGCTCTGAATGGCAGCTTTGATGTTGAAGGTCTTGGAGGGGAGCTGCCCAGTGCGGGGAGAGGAGAGATGTACCTCTGAACAGCTGGGTGAGAAATGGGGAGCAGGAAATCCTGTGAAAGTGTTACAGCAGCATGACCGGTCTGGCAGGGAAGAGCCAAGAGGGACCTGGATATTGGTGGTTTTTTCTGAGAATGGTTAAATTGTAGAGCCCCAGGAAGTTTTTGATGGGGAGAAAGAGCTTGCACCTCCAGCCAGCCCTGTTTCAAGCAGGTGGCCTGGTGGCTGGCCCAGGCAGCCCAGGGATATGTCCAAGCGAGTTCTGAAGTCTCCAGGGATGAACACATCACAACCCCTCCCAGGCCCTGTCCCAGGGCTGCTCTCACACACTTTGCAGGTTCCCAAGGGAGAGTAAGGCTGAGTTGCTTGAAGAGTGTGGTGTTGGAGGCTGGGGACAGACATGTGCCACATGGCCAAGGAAATGGGAAAGCCCAAAGAGAGCCAAGACTACCCACAGAGTCAGGGAGGACTGTCAGTCCTGCTTTGCAAAACAGGGAGCTGTGCCTGAAGGAGAAATCTCCAAGAGAAATGGTGGATGAGTTCAGGAACAGCTTGTGAGAAGAATCAGAATGAGTAGTAAATCCTTTATCCTGCTCATCAGTAGATGCTCCTGTATAAGAGCAGAGCTTGGAGAGGCTGCAATGCTGTAGTGGACATTTTTGTCATTGGTGCTGAGTGAGAGGGGCCTGGGACAGCTGCCCTGCTAGAAACCCTCTGCAGATGCAAGGGTTTGTATCAAACCAAAGTGCTAGCAGGGGAGACAACGGGGCAGGCAGATGAACCACCAAGGCTGCTGGATGACGCTCACCTTGTGGCAAAGCAGCTGAGCTGCTCACTGTGCATTCATTTCTCCCTTAAAACTGCCTCAAGCACAGCAAACAGGAGGGTGGCTGGATACCCAGCCTGGGGTCAGGCTGTGCCAGGCAGCACAGGTGCTGAACACATACGTAGGATTCTTGTAAGAGAGAAGCTACTAAAGACAAAGATGACTGCAGGGTGTGCCGTGGAGGCACAGCTCCAGACTTGCCCTGCTCTGTGTTTTTGTCTGTCTCAGCAGAAGCTTAGGTCAGCTCAGTTTGGTTCAGTGGGAGTTTTGCCCCTTGGGAGCTCCATGAGTCACTGTGGCTGGCACCTCTCTGCCCGTGGCAGGTGCAGCAATATTTCATGTCTTTGTCATCTGACTAGAAGGTGAGACAACAAAAGCCAGATGGTTTGGATAAGTCATTTCCAGGCAGCAGTATGTGAAGGTTGTAGGGATGCTGCTCTGTGCTGGCTGGTCCTGTGGAACCCCAGGATGTGTGTGCACGGCCTCCAGGCACTGGGGTTTATTTAAAGGCCTTAAAATGCAGTAACACCATTCAGGAGTGGAGCAGATCCTCGCACTACCTACCCACACTCTGCCTGTCAGCAGCTGCCACAGCTCAGGTGTCAGGAGGGCTGCACCCCTGCCTCAAATTCCCTGGATACCTTTCAGCAGGTCATGGCTTCCATGGCTTTGGGCAGCTTTTGGGTTGACTCAGGCTCTTCCTGCTGTGCCCAGCAGCTCCCCAGCCAGATCATGATAGGCATTCTTGTCTGAAGAGGGATGTGTTTATCACTTGGGTCTGGGCTGTGTGGATGGGAGTGGGCAGAATGTGGTGGGAGGGATGACCCAGGTCTGTGTGATGACAGAGGTGCTGGAGAACAGAAAGGTTTGGAGGCCAGCTGTGAGAATGGATCTGTCTCTGGGCCACCTGCCAGGCAGTGGCAGACGTTGAGGTCAGTGAAATTAGGGAGAGGAGGCTGTAGCATGTACATTGCTTCATGTTTAGGCTGGAAGGAAACACCGGATCGGGGTCAGAGGTTGGAATGGCAGGAGCAAAATTGGCAGTTTGGGTATGTGTCTGTATACGGGCAGCAGGTCATGTCTCCAGATGTGTTATTATAGACTCATAGGAGTGTTGATGACATGAACTTCTGGAGGTCCTTTGTCAAGGATGCCCCTCTCGCAGCAGGACTAGTACCAGCATTGATAATCCACCTCTTGGTTCCCAGCTGCACCACGTGGTGCTGGCCATGTCCTTGGGCTCTCCTGCTCTCCTTCCATGCCCTGAACCAGGAGGCTTTTGGATCCAGTGGTCTTATGTGCTGGCCTTGCAGTTCATATGTGAGGTAAGAGGTCCATCCTCCTACCTAAATATTGGCTGTAGGGTGAGCTCTCTCCCAGAGGGCCAGTGTACTGGGGTAGTATAGCCCCAGGGTGTTTAGCTGCGTGGTCTGTGATGGAGGTCCCTGCTCTGCAGGGCCAGGTGGGGTGTGTTGGCAGATGCCCTGTCACATAGCTGGGCTTTTGAGGACCCCTCTGCCATTTACAGGAGGACCAGCAGTCCTTCTGGAACTGCATGTTTGCCTTTCTGAAACCCTGGCACTGGGGTGATGAGTCATCCAGCAGCATGACAGCCCGGCAGGCATCTCTTGCCAGATGCAGCCACCTCAGCCTTGTGGGCACCAGTGGCTTCCTCCCACCCATGTGGTGATGGTCCTTGGCATTTCTGTCATTAACAAAGCATTTCTGGTGCTGTTGGCCTTCCAGGCACAGTGTTTAATGAGAAGAGACAATGAGGGTGGGATATCTCCTGCAGGAAATGTCGCTCCTTGGTATGCACAGTCATTCTCCAGCTTCTGCCCTCCTCTCTTTTCCCAAACTCAAGGTTGGGACAATGCTATTGGGGTGTAGAGCTGGCAAGGATATAGGGGAGAAGGGTGAGCAAGCAGTCAAGGTGGTGGGATTAGAAGTTGATGGTATGGAGGTGTCTTCCCCAAGATCTATTGGGCCCCCATGAACCTATAGGCTCTTAAGTGAAGAGTGGGCACTGACCACGGTGGAGTGAGCTGCTGCTGTTACCCCTGGGCAAACAGAGAGCATGCTGGAACAGCTTTCATAGCATCCTAGAATATCCTGAGTTGGAAGAGACCCACACAAATCATCAAAGTCCAACTCCTGGCCCTGCACAGGACCTGCCCAAGAATCCCACCATGTGCCTGAGAGCATTGTTCAAATGCTTCTGGAACTCTTGCAGGATTGGGGCTGTGACCACTTCCCTGGGGAGCCTGTCCCAGTGCTCAACCACCCTCTGGGTGAAGAACCTTTTCCTAATATCTTACAGAAATCTCCCCTGACACAGCTTCATGCTGTTCCCTCAGGTGGTACTGCTGGTCACCACATGGAAGAGATCAGTGCCTGCCCCACTGCTTCCCCTTGTGAGGAAGCTGTAGACCACTATGAGGTCTCTCCTCAGTCTCCTCTCCAGGTTGAACAAGCTAAGTGACCTCACTACTCCTCTTATGACTTCTCCTCTAGGCCCTTCACCATTCTCATAGCTCTCCTTTGGACACTAATAGGACCCCCAGGTGATTTGGGGCTGGTTTGGTGACCCTGGCCCTGGTTCCATCTCCGGATGTGCCGCCCAGAGTACCACACTTGCAGGTGCTGCTGACATGTGGTGGCTGTTTCCTGGAGAAACCTGCCCCAGCACATCCACCCCTGCCTTGTCTGATCACCTTCCCTGAATATTGCTGATCAGGCAGGTGCTGCCTGCCCACTGCCTCAGGAACTGAACTGATTAGTTGTGATGGGACCTGCCAACACTCCTTGTTACCCAGACCTCTGCCAGAGAGAGACAGGGAGAAGTCATGTCTTTGGCAGGCCTTGCTAAATCCCCATTTTCTCCCAACCTTTCTCCCCTGCTCACATATCCCTCCATGAGGTGTTCAACAGTGATGTGATTGCTGTGGGACCAAGGTTGGCTTTCCTGATGTTTAGCACAGCACTGGTATGTGAGCTGTGTGTCCAACAGTGGCCTGGACACCTCAAAAGCACTGTTTAGAGCAGGACAGGCTGTCCTGGACCTTGCCCACCCTCACTTTGCCAGCATTGCTGAACGCTGACCCCCAGCAGACTCTGCAGGGGCTGACCAGGGTGTGCAGGTTCTTCCCGGGTCTCCCTGGACAGCCCCCTGACCTCTCAGGTCTACGGTTCAGCTCAGGAGAGAGCAGAGAAGGTATTAACAAGAGGGACATCCCAAAGCAAATGCCAACACAGTTGGAAGTTATGTGGGACAGCCAGGCTGGTTTCCCTGGAGCCAAAACAACTGAAGCCAACCAGTCCCCAAAGACTCACTTTTGTCCAGGCTGGAGGTTTCCACAGAAAATTCTGGTGGGGATTTTTGTCTGGGAGATTGAAACAAGGTTTTGCTTCCTTGCTTTGTCCTTAGCAGTTCCATGGCTCCCCCAAGCCCCTGCCTGTCCTTGAGGGCCCTTCTTGTCCCCTGCCACTGTCTTGGCAAGGCTGCTTTGAGAACAGCTGGGCCAACAAGGAGGAGGTCCAGAGTAGATGGAAAGGTGTGTGGGCAGGGTGCTGTGGTCAGGACTGTGTGGAGAGATTGCTAACCTTTTGCACCAGCTTGGTAAATCATGGCTTCTATCTCAAAACACTGATTTTGTGCTTTCAGCTGAGTGTTTGTCACTAGAGGTGCTGCTTTTTGTGACCTGGTGAGGTTCCAGTGAGAGGCTGTGCCACGTGCAGATGGGTGCTCGTACAGCTGCTGTGCGAAGGGCGATGTGAGCACACGTGTGGTGCCTGGGGGTGCTGCTCTGCTGCAGCGAATCCTCTGCTCACCATCTCCAACCACAGCTTCCCACTGAAGGGTAGGATGTGCAGATGCGAGAGGGGCACGGGGGGACATGCTGATTCTTCCCAAATGGCCTGGAAGCGGAGAGGTGGCTCATATCCTTGTGTGTCCAAGGACTGATGGAGCAGCCCTGATGGTGTGTGGGTGTGCTGGAAACGTGACAGTGAGGCAGGGTGTTGGCACTAGCTACCTGGCCTCAAAACCCAGGGTCAGTTTTTCACAGTTCCACCCAGCAGAGAGGGCACATTGTACCGCTGTGAAGTGTGTGCTCAAGGGGATTTGTGTTTTGAAACACAGCAAGGTAGAACCTCACCTTGATCACAGGTTACAGTGTGAAATGTGGATGGGTACAAACAGCTGGCATCCCTCACATTACCCACTGGATTTCTTTGTCACCTTCTGTGCTGTTGAAAGCAGGACTAACAGCCATGCCTGTTTTCCTGGCTGTGCCATGCGTGGCGTAAGCATGGGGCAGTGGTTTCCATGGAGGAAGAGTGGGGCTGCAGGGTGTCTGAGGCTGCTGTGAGAGCCATGCTGCCTGCCTGCACTCTGTAGGTACCAGTGCTGGCCCAGGACAGGTACCCATGTCGTGTAGGAAAGCCCAACTGGTGCCAAAAGTCTCTGACAGTGGTGAGAAAATACCAGGCCCTAGGGTCTGGCACTGCTTGGTGAATGGGAACAGGAAGCCATCAATTTCAGCATAATATAATAAAGCAGAATAATTTATTAACAATGTGTAATAACATAGTTATTGTATTGTTATATTATATATTATTCTATATAAAAATAATTAAAAGTTGTATTATTATATAGTATTATATAATTATTATCTAATAATAAAGCAGAACTTGTATGAAGTCCCACTTCTCTCACATTACAGTCATCTGTCCTGACCTTTGTACTCAGTGCCTGCACAGCTCAGCTTGGTTCAAGTTCTCCTAAACCCAGGTTTAAGCTGTTCTCATAAACTCTTACAGGTGGAACAGACCTTCCTAGGAGGCCTGGGGCTCCCAGCTAGCAAGCCTGTCTGACACAGCGCAACTATCCTGGCCCGATCCCATTTTCAAAAACCATTCTTGTAATGTTCTATTAGTGTTGTTTTTAGGGTACACTTTTTAATGCATTTGGTATTCTGGCTTGGGCAGGCCTCCATTATCTGCCCAGGGCTTGCTGAAGGAGGGAGGCTGAAGGGTCAGGCTGGGTGCAGCCGTGCCTCCCGCAGTGACACGGGTTGGACAACCTTGGAATGGTTTCCGGAGCACGTGCCTGTTCACCCAGGTCTCATTTGACTCACAGATGTAAACACAAGTCTCGCTGCTGAGGTCAGTAGGGAAACCTCTCAAATTGCTGTGCAACTCACGGTCACGTCATGGCTGGTTAATTCAGTCTGTGAGACGGATTTTCTCCTCCACTGAATGGAAGTGGGAGGGAGCTTCCCTCACCCTGGGCATGAGCAGCAAAGCCGTGTGGCGAAGCGGATGCACGAGGGACTCTCACCACTTGCTGTGGCCGCTGCTGAGCTGTGTGGCCTCCTGCCATCCAACCATCTGCTGTGTCCAGGTGAATGGTCTCTCTTGAGTCCACTTCCCCCTTTAAATGCTCACCCATCTCTTTACTGGCCCTTGGCAGCTACAGAAGTGTTGCCTTCAGGAGCCCCTGGCTGCTGCTGGCAGCAGGCACTGAGCTGCAGAGCCCAGAACATGGTGACATACTCCATCAGCCTCTACATGTCACCTCTGCACGGCAACTGGACTAGCTTATAGGGCCTTGCAGAATCCAGCATGGGAATACAAGCAAGGAGACCTGCCTCCTGCAGCTTTGATCTGTCTCAACGGGATGTGGCGCTGAGACCCAAGGCCATGGGACCAAAAGCCACGTGAACTGAGGCCACATGGAGGTGCTGGGAAGAGCTCAGGCAAATACCAGGAGTGTGCCAAGATCAACCACAGCCTCTAGCTCACCTTGCTCATCTCCAGGCCAGATAACAAGGAAGGTGACATGTCCCATCCATGTGGATGCTAGGGATCTCTCAGCTTTGGGCCCTAAATTAGCTCACGTGTGTCCTGCGCACGTGTGTGTCATTCTGGACTGGCAGAAGTGCCTGACAGGTCAGAGAGCCAGGCTGCCATCCAGAGACAGGCTGGAAAAGTGGAGTGACAGGGATCTCACGCAGTTCAACACGGGGAAGTGCAGAGTCCTGCATCTGGGCAGGAACAGCCCCCCCACACACCACTGTGTGCTGGACCACCCACCTGGAAAGCAACTCAGTGGCAAAGGCCCTGAGGGTGCTGGTAGATAATAAATTGAACACGAGCAACACGCCTTTGCAGTAAAGAAGGCGACTGGTGTGGTGAGGGCTGAAAGCAGGCAGAAGGGGATCCTTCTCCTCTGCTCGGCACTGCTAAGGTCCACCTGCAACGCTTTGTCCAGAATTGGGCTGCCCAGTACAAGGGAGAGATGGGCATACTGGAGAGCTTCCAGGGGAGGGACACTGGAATGGAGACGGAACTGGAGCGTCTCTCCTGCTGGACGCGCTGGGGCTTGTCCCACCTGGAGGAGGCTCGGGGTGTCGCGGGCCGGCCAGCACGGATCGCTGCTCCCAAATAGGAAGCGTTTTAACTGCGGAGAACTGTAAGGAGCTCCCTGGCTGTCCCGGCCGGGCTGTGCACGGGGCTGCGGGGCCACGCGGGGGAGCTGCGGCCCCGCCAGCGCGACGCGGCGGCACCGACCGGCGGCGGCTGCTGGGGGTCCTGCGGGGGTCCTGCCCCGGCGCCGAGCATCCCTCGGGGAGCGGGCCCGGGGGTCCTGCCTCCGGTCACCCGTCTCGGCTCCGAGCATCCCTCGGGGAGTGGTACCCAGGCGAGGGGAGCGCCCGGCTGCCCCAAACTGGGGACAGCGGCGTTTGTCCCCAAAGGCCAGGACGTGCCGCCGCTTGTGCTGTCCCCCTCGATCCTGCCAATCTCAGCAGGCCCTGACAATCAAAATGAATGGCTCCCTGCATCCATCGCCGGGGGCATCCCGGATCTTATATCTCCCACCGCCATGCCCGTGCCCTGGTTTGACCCATAATGAAATGGTCTCCCTGCTGCAAGAGCCCCTCACAAGCGCAGGGAGGTGAGAGGCAGCAAGGACATGCTTTTGGGGATGCAGGTTTTTGCACCCACAGCTCCTGGCACAGACATGTTCTGTTGTCTGTCTTGAAGCTGTTAGATTCCATTTTTCCAAGACTTGGTGATGGCACTTGATGGCACTCTTGTGGCACTAGAAAAGAGCACTGTCTATCTGCATCCTTGTGCTGCCTTGGCTTTGCACAAGCCCTGTCACAGAGAATGGGACCAGCTTTGGGGACCCTGGGATCTCCTGCTCAGACCAAGGTTTGGGCAGCCTCCTTCACCTTGACAGAGAAGGCAGATCCACACTTACTTGCTCTGCTGTCCTCCTCAGTCTGTGGGTTTGTCTTGTTTTTTTCCTTGAAGGGGAAATGTTCAGATTTTAGAGATGACTGCAGTGAACCCTAAATGCCTGTCACTTTCTCTTCTTACCCCCAAAGCACAGGCTT